TACTTTTTTTTCTCCTTAATGATTGGAAAGTATTCAAAACATGTGTTGATTAAACTTATTTTTCCATTCACTTACTGATGGATGTCTCTACTTAGCGTTTTTATTGCTTTCTTTAATGAACTACGTTCAAAAAGTATCTCTGACATGCGTATTGGAAAGTGTCTCCACATATTAGAAAAATTGCTCATGATGAGATGGCTGGATGAAAAGAAGTGTACTTCTTTATAAGAACTCTAAGTGGAGGATAATCTAGAAAAACTTTGAATCATTATGTTTGTACACTTGAGACAAATGTAATATTGTAAATGGACTATACCCCAACTAAAAAAATACAATGTCTCATAAATTAAAAAAATAAAAGTAAAGTGGTGTATGCCTCAAAAAAAAAAGGGAATGTATATTTTTATTTTTATAGCTACTGCCAAATCATCCACCAGAAATACTGCCCCACTGCAGCCAACCTGGAAGAACCCTTGCTCACCAACATCCTCCAAGATCATCAGTTAAATAGATCATCAGTCCTGCCTTTCTAAAACTTAGAAAAAGATAAGTTGTTTTAATGTACATTTATCAATGGAGTGGTTGAACACTATTCTGTTTCTTAGGGACTTCTTTCTTTTCCTTTGAAGATGGAAAAAATGTTTATAAACTATAGACCAGGGCAATATGGATTTGTTGGTTATAATTATGTGTAATATGTTTGCATATGAATAAATGATGAAAATGAGTGTGAAAATGTTAATTGGGATACTTCAGTTTATTAATGAAAATTGTTTTTATTTTTTAAATAAAATTGACTTTAACTGTTTTACATTATTTTAAAAGAAATGAATGACAAGTTGATATTCTTTTTCACGTATAATTTCTTTTCCTTTTTTTAATTTTTATTGACTCACAGTAAGCCTCATCTTTCAGTTTTTAATGGAGGTACCGGGGATTGAACCCAGGACCTCATGCATGCTTAGCATGTGCTCTGACCACTGAGCTAGACCTCTGAAGCTCTGGTATCTTCCTGATTTCAATTTTTATGCATCAGGTTCAAAAGTTTCAGTCTCCTCTCATGCAACTGGTTGGAAGGCAAGGATGGATTTCTTCCAGAAGGAAACTTGCATGATACGGCCGTGAGGGAGCCCTGTGTGTACACAGGGCAGGGGCTACCAGTGGAGAAGAGACGGGAAACATAGAAAGGAGAAATTATATCCTCTTTACCTGCCAGATATGAGTCACCAAGAGTCCTGAGCTCTCCCTGGGTTATCTCTGCTTCCATCTTTTATGCCACAACACATACACTGGGGAAAAAAGAAACCTTCCCATCTGTCCGGATGAAAATGATGTAAGTGACCCTTTGTCAACAGGACAGAGGGTGCATGTCTGATTGTCTCCTTCTGTGATTTGCTGCTAATGAGTCAACTTAGATACATAAATCCTTCACGAGCACCCAGGAGAGGGTGGACTTCCCGTGCTGCCCTGGCCGCCTCGCAGAGCTCACCGAGATACTGGGCTCACACTGGTGACCATAAAATCTAGTTTGATGCTACCCGCGTGGCGGCTTTTCAGGTGATGGCATCTTGAGAAAACCATCTTCAGAGAGTTAAGGGAATCTTTCCTGAGTAAATGAAGTACTCAGAAAAGTACTCTGAGCTAAGGAAAGCCAGTCTGCAGAGGACTTCTACAATCCTTAGCAATAAAACAATGAAATTTTTTTGGTCAAGGTCAGAGATAAGAGTTACAGTGTCCGCATTCTTTGGAGAATAACACAGGCACTGCATTGCGAGCTTTTATGTGCAAATGCCAGTCTCTTCCAGGGCTTCAAGTATACAGGGGACAAACGTCACTGAAGACAATAGGTGACAGTAATTTGTCTAGAAACTGTTTTTAATCACTATTAACATGAAGATTCAATAGTACATATAGCCAAGGTCTTAATGTCTTTAAAAAATTAATGCCTTCTACTCAAGAGGCACTGAAGTGAGGGGAAACACCATAAGTAATACAATTTATTTTTATTTGTAAAATCTGAACAACCTTCCATAAGATACAAGGCCACTTAATATCAACGAGGAAAGAATTTAAAGGAGCAGACTTAGTGAAGAGCAGCTGCAAACTGAGGCTGGATGTTTTATAAGAAATAAGACCGAACTGAGGCTCGGCACTTTGTAATTCAGAGAAAAGACAGACAATGCCCCTTGTCTGCTGGCCTCAAACTGCCCGCCTCGCAGTGCCCCAGAGAGCACTTCCTCTCTTGTTAATCCATGTAGATGCCGAGTTTTTATTAGGAACTCATTCTTAAATCTCTTGGGACTTTTGAGCACTCTAATTGTGACATTTGCAGGATGGGAAGTTCTAGCAACCGAATGACTGCCGGCTAAGGATTCAGCTTTGTGCCTCCAGCCGTGTGCTGAATAATAAAAACTAGACGCTGACTTGGGGGTAGCCGCTGTCCCCTGGTCCAGGCTTACCCTGTTCACTACCAGGAACAGATCCCCCCGACCTGGATTAGACCCCCAAACTGGGGGGACCTGCCACTGTGTGCCAGGATTTTAAAAAATAACTTACAGTTAGATATTATTACCAGGAAAGAAAAAGTACTCTTCATTCTTAGTCGTTAATAATACATGAACATGACAAATCCAAAAAAATTGGAATAATTAAGAAAGTTATTAACAAGCTCATGGTCTTATCATTTTCCTGGGGCTCCTCCTTTGCATCCCCCTTTCAGTGGCGGCTCTCAGTGGTCCTTCTTCTCACTTCTACACTAAGCTTTAAAAGGACCCAGTGCCCGCGGAGTTTGAGGCTTTAAAATGAGACCAAAGACGTAAATATTCTCTCTCCGACTCTAAGATCTAACGCAGGTGCTTTTTAATTCGGTAAAATGAGAGAAGCTTTTTCTCATTTAAATGACTGTGTGCTGTTCGGCTCTTCCTTCTACTTTCCTGCACAACCTCTCTCTTCTCTAATTTCTTAACTCTACGTAATTATGGATTAAACTGCTACAAAGTGCTTCATTGCTGCGTATCACAATTTCCGTCTGAAGCAAGGGTAACCACAACACTGTGCACAGCTGCTGCACCCGCCGCTGTAAATAGTAAGGAAGAAACAAATGTAAGGTCTTGAAAACAAACCCCAAGTTTCCTCCCCCGAGATAAGATACCATGGTACTGTTACGAACTCGCCCCGGCATGGCACTGGCCGGACACTCTTACAATGGCTGTGATGCTTTTGGTTGCAAGGAGTCAAAACAAAAATCAATCCAGGTGGTTTATTAGTTTATGAACCCGGAAGCCCAGGAGGACAAACTCTAGGCGTGGCATGCTCTTGGCTCAGACTATTTCCTTGTGATGCATTCTCGAGGCTCTGTACTTCTCCGCCTGCCAGCCTCATCCTTGGTGCCCCTTCCTCCGTGCAAACACAAGGCTCTACTTGTTCACATCTCTTCTCTTCTTGGAGTCATTAAAAAAACAAGTATTCCAAGTTCAAACCCAATCAGTTTCTTCTTCATGAGATGCTCGCTTCTGATCCAAGCCCTGGAGCATGCATGGGGAGACTGCTTTCTGTCTGGATGACTTAGCCATCCATGAAAGGATCACGGTGGCCAAGGGACATGGGATCGCTCCGGTTGTCTGGAAACAATCAGGGCTCACCCCTAGAGCTGGAGAATCACGTTTGCAGCTACACCATCAAGGAGGGCCAGGAGGCTGCCGGGATGGTGAACACGACCTCCACTGCCACTCAATTATAGCCATCATTCCACAGAAGTCAGTGGGGTAACAGGTGGTGCTTAAACATGACACTGGCTGTAACTGTAAGGTGACCTAATGTTAACAGGTGAGAGATTAAGCAGTGACGTCACCCGCTTTCTTACCATATTGTCCTATTAAGAAAGAAAACTTCAAATTCCCTTAACCGAAAACTAACCAGCATATTTTCTATGCTTCTTTTCATGCTGTCTGTCAGATACTCAAGTCTAGGTCTCCCACATCACAATACACGGCTCAGAGAAATTCCAACGCTAAAACACGTGCTTTTGGGTAAGAATATTCTCACTAATTCAAGAGAGGATTGTTGGGGCCCTAAGACACTCCACAGTCTCCATCTGCTTTCCCAAAGCCTCCTCAAATAGACACAAAATGTCAGTGAAAGCAGTGTACTTTCCAGGTAAACACATCTCCAAGAGAACTCCTCCAGTGCCTGCCTCCAAAAAGATTATGACCATCAACATTCTCACAAAAAAAAAGTCTGCAGCTGTGCAAAGCTGCAGGTCAGGGATGACACTGAATGCACACACATGTCCACAATCACAAGTTTTTAAGTCCTAAAGGAGAAGGCTGAGGGGCTGGCCCCGAGCAAGCGGGGAGCAGAGTCCGGGGATGATGAGGACGGATGCAGTGGATAAGTGGTGGACCCTGTGCTGGGAGAACTGGCCGGGGGTGCCGAGGAGAAGGCAGTCACCCCAAGAGAAGAAACACCTTCCCAAGTGGTCAGGAGTATTTGCAATTTTCTCATCCAGAAAGGAAATGGAGGGACTGTGTCTGCTAAGATACAGGCTTTAGAGAATAATTATTGCTGAAGGTAAAGATGAGTTCTTAACCTAGGGAGATGCATTTCACCCACTTTACGTGTTCTTACTGTGTTTTGCTATTTATTTAATTCAAGCCCCCCAAACCTCTGCTAATTTGTATAATGAAACTGTCTAATAACTCAAATGTCTTTAGACTACCCAAGCATTTAGACACAAACGAAGCGCAGAAACGTTAATATGGAAATTTGGCTAAGTGTTCGCGGCCATGTGCTATGAGATGTCAGTGGAATTCCTCCCCAGGTTTGATGAGGAATCGCCAGGAGTTTCACACACGCTCTCCTCCTTCCTCCATCACACGGGCACCTGGTACTGCAAAGCCACACGAGGGCGCGGGCCTGCTCACCGATGTCGCCAGCGTCCTCGCGGAAACTATCAACCTTCCATGGGCAGGACATCCCAGAGCTTATAAAGCGACAAGGTCCATGTGAGAGAAATGCACTGTGTTACATTCTGTCTTCCTGGAGCCAGATCTTTAAAAGTTTGGTACAATTATTAAAAGCATAAGCTGTAGACCCAAAGAGTCTGGGATTCAAATTCTAACTTTGCTACTCGTTAGCTGTGTAAGAGTTGGCAAGTTGAATTACCCCCTGACCCTCTGTTGTCTCATCTGTAAATTGCAAGTGATACTGATTAAGTGATACCTCACTCTCCAAGTGTTTAGCACAACGCCTGGCACTTAGCATGTCCCGATAAACAGTTACCATTCCACCAAGAAACCAGGGGAAATGTCCCTTTGACTGTGGAGGGCTGTGGCGCGTGGGTTTGCATCTCCACCCTGCTACTTACCTCCTGTGTGACCTTGAGCAAATAACTTAAACATCTTTGAGCAGAGCCTCAGTTGTGTCATCAACAAAATGGGATAGTAAAGCTGTCTACCTAGATTCAGACGATGTACTTGGTTGATGCTGCATGGCATACAAGTGTTACCTAAGTGGTAGCTACTCATAGTAGACCTTGTAATCCTCCAAGTCCTATTCCTAGAGGTTAAGTAAATTGTCTATTATCTAAATTACAATATTATCTATAATATTTTTTGACCTGATTACATGTGGAAATATACAAGAAATTTTAAAGAAATCTCCAATCAGTGCCTCTTCACATCCCCTTAAAAAACACACTCTTGCTTATAATTTTGTCCCACCATGGAAGGGGGGGAATAAAACATGTCACCCTGCCTCCGTGGATGGCTCTATCCTGGCTTCTGATTTGCTATCAGTAGAGCATCAAGGAGGGCAGGTGTCCAATCAGTGAGCAGTCCATCCCTGTGCACACCCTGAGCACAGAGCACGAACAGATTTTCCTGCGGCGTGATGGAGGCACACCCCCAACAACTGCAGGAGAGATGGAGAAAGTCCACACCAACTCAAGGTGCATGTTACGGCGACAGAGGGGCTCTTCTGTATGAATGGAATCA